CTCGACTCTGCTATGCCCATTGTGCGGAGGATACGGTGACACTCCTCCAGAAATCCCTGAGCATCCACTGAATGTAGGAGGATCATACTTCTTGTACCTCTCAAGTCTCCGCTGCTCCTCCTCTGAAGCGGTTTCCCTACCCTCGGGCTGGACTGGGGCTACAGGCGGTACCGGTATAACCTCTGGGATCTGATCAACCTGAACCCGCTGCTCTGGGGTACGGGCGGTGGGAGTATGTGCTCCTCCCCCGTCCTGAGATGTGGCTGCAGCAAGGGGAATCAACCCTGCCTGAGTTAAAGTGTTGTACATGCTCATGAACTGTGCAAGGGTCTCCTGGAGGGCTGGATTAGTAGTAGTAGGCGTATCAGGCGCCTGGGCTCCGTCTAGAGCTGCTGGTGGCTCCTCTGTAGCAGCTCGCGCGGGTGCTCTGGCTACACCACGTGCGCGTACTCGGCCTTTACCCCGGCCCCGGCCTCTAGCGGCTCTAGCAGGGAGCGCGGGTGCCTGGTTATCTCTGATAGCACGTGTCCTCACCATCTGTGAGAGAATAGAAGACAGAAGTTTAGAATTTTTGAAGTCAATAATCTCGCACGAAAAGGAATCAAATGAAGTGGAATTTTCCTAACAGTTCCATAGCCTCTCAAAGATAAGTACAGACGTCTCCGTACCGATCCGCGAGACTCTAATAAACCAGCTTGTGACTCACGACTCCTATGAACCTAGAGCTCTGATACCAACTTGTCACAACCCAACTCCTCCCTCCGTGATCTGTCGCGACGGCACCTGGTCTCTATGACTAGGTAAGCCTAACACACTGCGAAAATAAAAACAAAAACGTAAATATTAACTATTGGCAATACAACTATCTATTAAGCAACCAAATGCCACTCGGCATATACAGTTAATACTTCAGAAAAGTACCAAACAACACCCAAAACCCGAAAACTCGCAAGTCACAAGCTACTAAGATGTTCTAACTGTTCTATACATCATCTCTAAAGAAAGAAAGAGAAATGAACATAAGGGGATAGAGGGGGGACTCCGAGGATCTGTGGGCGCGGGCAGATGTACCTTGAAGTCTCCAATAGGCAGCAGCGACTGCAACTAGTGATGAGGCTGGTACGACGAACCTGGATCTGCACACGAAAAACATGTGCAAGAAAGGGCATGAGTACACCACAGCAGTACCTGGTAAGTGCCAAGCCTAACCTCGATCGAGTAGTGACGAGATCAGGTCGGGGCCCTACTGGATTATATATGTAATAAAGTAAAACAGTAAGAAATATTGCAGTAAGATTAAATACTAACAATTAACAAAATAAAATCACAGAAAAACACCACAATTCAATACACAGAGATAGCAACAGGGGATCTCCCGGGATACCGTCTCGTAGTCCCAAACGTAAATGTGCAGGGGGATCTCCCGGAATACCGTTCAGTAGTCCCAAAGTAAATATATCCAGTACAGGGGGATCTCCCGGGATACCGTCCCGTAGTCCCAAATATAAATGTGCAGGGGGATCTCCCGGAATACCGTTCTGCAGTCCCAAAGTAAACACACCGATCAATCAATAAAAATAACAGTTCAACAAGAAATGCTACAGTTTAAATTCAATTCATATCAAAGAAGACAGGCAATCCTTACTCTAAACATGCTGCACAGAGTCCAGATAAGTAGTTAAGGCAGTTAAGACAGTTAAGGCACGTAAGCATGCTTCCCTAAGCTAAACAGGATGGCTACATATACTAGTATTGCTCAATTAAAGGAAAACACAGATATTTACTTAATGAAAACGGTGTTCTTTTTCAACAATTAGCACGTATACGCACTCGTCACCTCACGTACACGACATTCAAATAACAACAGTACCAAATCCTAAGGGGGGGTTCCCCACACAAGGTTAGGCAAGCCACTTACCTCGAACCAAACTCAAAAGCAATCCGAAATCACGCTCTTGCCACGAGTATCCAACTCCGAGTGGCCCAAATCTAATCAAATCAATTACATAACGTAAATAAGGATACAAGCAACTAATTTAACTGATGAAATAAAAGCTAGGGTAAGAAAATAGAAAACGCCCAAAAATCCTCCCTGGGCCCACGTTTCGGAATCGGGTAAAAGTCACAAATTATGAACACCCATTCACTCACGAGTTCACTCGTACAAAAATCATCCAAATCTGACGTCTAATTCCCATTCAAAACTCAGATTTTCAATTGGGGAACTTTTTCCCCCTTTTCCAAACTTCCACCCTGAAATTCCTTAATTAGATGAGGAAAACAACAACAGATTAATGTAATATGATCAAAATAGAGTTAGAATTAGTTACCCAATAGTTCTCCCTCAAAATCCCTCGAGAAATCTCCTCCCACCGAGCATTAAATCAAATTTTGTGTTATGAAATTTCAAACCCTCAAAATCCTCTTTTCTGCCCAGCGATTTCCGCATCTGCGCTCATGGGGCCGCATCTGCGGTCCCGCACCTGCGGAAAAATCATCGCAGGTGCGAAGGCCACTTATCCGGGCTGGGGCTGCATCTGCGGTCACTGGGCCGCATCTGCGAACCCGCTTCTACGGTCCCCCAGCCGCACCTGTGGTCTCAGCTGCAAGGTTCCCTCTCCGCTTCTGCGGCTCCCAAGCCGCTTCTGCGGTCCAAAATCTGCAGGTGCGAAACCAACAGGTGCAGCAAAGCTTCAGCAACATGCCTAAGTCCCAACCAATCCATTAAGCATCCGAAACTCACCCGAGGCCCCCGGGACCTCAACCAAACATACCAGCCAATCCTAAAATATCATACGAACTTAGTCGAGCCATCAAATCACATCAAACAACGCTAAAACCACGAATCACCCTCCAATACAAACTTAATGAACTTGAAATTTTAAAATTCTACAACCGATGCCGAAACCAACCAAAACATGTCCGATTGACCCAAAATTTTTCACACAAGTCATATTCAACACTACGGACCTACTCCAACTTCCGGAATCAGATTCCGACCCCGATATCAAAATTCCACTATCTGCCCGAAACTTCAAAAATTCAACTTTTGCCATTTCAAACCTAAATAAGCTACGGACCTCAAAAACATAATCCGGACATGCCCCTAAGCCCAAAGTCACCCAACGGAATTGACGAAATTCAATTCCAGAGCCGTCTTTACACTGTTCTGACTACGGTCCAACTTCTAAGACTTAAACTCTCATTTGGGGACTAAGTGTCCCAAAACACTCCGAAACTCAACATGAACCATCCCGATAAATCACAATAGCAGAAAAAGACACGGGGAAAGCAGTTAACAGGGGATTGGGGCGTTAATTCTCAAAGCGACCGGCCGGGTCGTTACAAATGTGAAACAACTTCATGCTATATTAGCATGAAGTTTTAGCTTCAACATGAAACAACTTCATGCTACATTAGCATGAAGTTTTAGCTTCAACGTGAAAGAACTTCATGCAAGTGTGATTCTGAAGATGAATCTGGATAAGTTTCTAATTTTTTGATAAAGCTGATGAGAGGACAGGAGGAGATCTTTTTTCATGAATGAGGTTGCAGATCACGCGATTAATGCGTGATGCAGGTTTTATATCTTTTGTCAGGGGTGTAATTGTCATATTATTACGGATTTTTTGTCAGCTGGCTACCAAATCAATAATTTTTTAAAATAGGTACAGGTTAAAAGGTGGCACAAATATAAGGTACGACTGCAAATCCTCTCTTATTTTACAGTGGTGATGAGGATTATTAAAGAGTCTGAATGCTGAGGTGGCGAGAACTTATAAGCCAATTCAAATGTTGTCCCCTAAAAAAGTGAACTATATTTTATACAATTAAATATCTTTAACCTCGTTCGTTCTTATATTTTTAGTTGTAATAGTAAAGTGTTATTATAAACAGGGCGGATTTAGCTTAGTCCAAGCGGTGTCATGTGGCACCGCTTCGTCAAAAATCTTTACTAATTATTTATATATAATTCAAATAAAAAAACAAGAAAAACGATAATATCAAATAAGTGACATTACTTGTCACAAAGAGCCGTCTAGCTTATCTTGTCAAAGCCTCAAGATTTATAAGTAGGGACTTGAGTTCAAACCTCTGTAACCTCATGCTGCATTGTAAGTTGTGGTTCCAAAAAACTTAATCATTATAGCAAAGTGTTCTTATAAAGAATGTTATTATTGAAAAGTCCATTTACTCTTTCTTTGTTACGTAAACATAAAATGAGCTGAACCCACGTCGGACAGCAAGTGCAAAACTGATCTGACTACGTGGCCACCAAAGGCATCTCTACTCTGCCACGTCTCATCTCTAAATCGATAATATGCTACCATCTACAATTTAAAGTAGGTAATTTCTATTAAGGTGAGAGAAAACTTATATTATCTGGACATAAGATTCCACTAATAATAAATTAACGTCATGTTTAGAACTTTGATTAAGGAAATTGAATAATCTGATACTACATGAGAATAGAAATAGTATTAATAGGATTAGAAAACCTTGCACTCTATGAAGCACGAAAATCAACTTTTAAATATATTATATTCTAGTTTATGTGACCTAATTTTTTTCCACCGTTGCAAAAAAGTAAACTTTATCAAAATTTAAAACGAGTTAACTTAAATTTCATATTTAATTTTTAATTAGAAGTTTTTATAACTACTCAGATGATAATATTTTAAGAGCACAAGTTTCACGACTTTTAGGTAATTACAAATGTATGAACTATTTATAAATAAAAATAAAAATTTTACTTTCTGAATCAAATATTTTTACATAAATTTAAATGAGAAAGCAATATATTCCACGCAAACGTAACTAAACAAATGATGTTATTTTTGTACGTTTTCGTCTTTAACGTTTGCATGTGTTTGTAAACAAGAACTTCCTCGTGTTCATTCTACTACATGACATCTGTCTGTGTTTATCCAATAAATTGTTAAGGATTATGATGAAAAAATTCATCCACTTCAAGTCAGCCTGTATATAACGTAGTCACTCCCCCTTTCCCTTATTCACATCTCCCCCATAATTACAAATAACTTCAACTCTATTACTGTAGAAAAGTTCCACAATGGATTTTGCTCTTAGAGATATGGGTTTTGATCCATCGATGATAGGTGCACTTCACGACATGTTTGATTTCATGGACGAAACAACAGAGCAGAAACCTCAACATCCATCTAGGACTTACATACGAGACACGAAAGCCATGAAAGCAACACCAGCAGATGTAATAGAATACCCTAACGTCTACCAGTTTTTAGTGGACATGCCAGGGTTGAAACCTGATCAAGTCAAAGTCCATTTGGAGGATGAAAATGTGTTAGTAGTGAGCGGAGAAAGGAAGAGAGAGAAAGAGAAAGAAGGGATAAAGTATTTGAAAATGGAGAGGAGGTTTGGGAAGTTGTTGAAGAAATTTGTGCTGCCGGAAAACGCTAACACGGATGGGATATCGGCGGCGTTTCAGGACGGCGTGCTGGTGGTGAAGGTGGAGAAGAGGCCACCGCCGGAACCCAAGAAGCCAAAAGTGATTGAAGTTAAGTTGGGAGGAGGAGAGAGTAGTACTACCGGCGGTGGTGGTGTCGAAGCAACTGAAGGAGGGGGTCAACAAGTCCAAGATGGAGTTCCCAGTGAAGTTAAAACTGACTAAGATGTTTATGCTATCTAAATAATCAGGCAGCCTTGTGTTGGTTTTTGCTTATTAGTTTCTTTTGCTGTTAAAAACTGTCTTTGGTGAAAGTTCAAAGGGTTTTGATCCTGGTCTCCTAGATGTTTAATAATGTACATGTAGGTGTGTTAATAAAGAAGTCTATATATGTCCAAAAAACGTGTAAATACTTATATGTATCTGTATGGTCATGCTTTTTGTGAATGTTAATGGTGACTACTGTTGTAGTGTGAGGAGTATTATTTTCTTGCAACAGTTTGTATACCGAAAAAAGAAATTTACACTATCATGTTATAATTAACAATAAATAATTCTATGTAACAAGTCTGATAGTATAAAAATGTAGAATTTTAGTGCATATAACTTAAGCCTATGTAATGTAGTAACAGTTTTGTGTAATATTTTGGTTACGGGGTGACAATATTATCCCAATTTGAAGTTCGAACTTATTTTGCAAGTGGTGATCTTGCAACTGTTTAAAGCTGTTCTTTTTTTCTTTTTTTCTTCTTTTAGGTAGACGATGTAGTCTTAAGTTACACATGTCAGACTTTGTCTGATTAATTGGTACTCCTTTTTTTTTTTTTTTTTT